AGACAGTTCTCGGTCAAATCTTTTTACAATTTCCTTGTTAGGAGAGGCATTAAGAGTCCTTTATACAAAGTCATTTGGAATGCCATTATCCCCTCCAAAGTTCGCATTTTTCTCTGGCTTCTCTATGAATATATTGAGTTATTAGTGGTAAACATTTCTTTTGAGATGAATAACCATAAATGTGATAAATAGTGTTTGGGAGCCTAGCAAGAATTTCTATGTTAGAGTAATCAAGGGGATTGATCAGCATGTGATAGAAGGCATAGCAGGCAGTTGTTCTGCTGTGCGGTCGACCGCGATGTGCGCGGCGGTCGACCGCACAGCAGTCGGGCACACAGGAGACTTTTCTCCTGCTGTGCGGTCGACCGCGCAAGGCGCGGCGGTCGACCGCACAGCAGGCAGAGAGTTTTTCTGTGTTGGGTCTTAATGGGTTTCGGGTCGGGTTCGGGTCGGGTTGTGGGGTTAGTATATATACTATCAAACCCTAAAGAGCCCCATTTCTCATCTGAAATCAGAACCCTAGCCCCCTCTCTCCCCCTCAAACCCTAGTTTCTCACTCCTTGGTGATTTGGAGGAGCTTTGGAGGGATTTTCAGCGGATTGTTGGTGGATTCAGCGAGATGGATCATCTTCCTTCAGATCTAGGGCTTCGTTTTCATCATAGGCGAGTAACATCTCGCCCAACTTCACCCCTTTTTGTTTTATGCTTAGATTTGAGTTTTTAATCCGGTTTTTATTAAGCCCAAATCATATTTTGTGTAGATAAAGTAGATCTTATGGCATGAGGTGCAAAAATATATATTTCAGTCTTAAAAAGGTTCACTAATGATGTTTAATTAATGAGATCTTGATCTGAAACGTTTTTATGAAGGTTAAACCTATTTTTCTCCTGTTTAAGAACTTTTAAAATCATGTTGTTTAAGGTTTGGGATTTTTGATAATGAAGTTTTAACCATTTAAACTGGTTGTTTATTGCCATAGTTCTCTATTAAAAGGTTATAGTATAATGGGTATAGAAATCCCCAAGTTTTGTATGAGTTCGGTAGCTGAACCCAGAATGAGGTTCTGTCCGCCCAGCGGTCGACCGCATGGGACTCAGCGGTCGACCGTCGCGCGTTCATGCCTGCAGAACCGTTTCTGCGCTTTGGGCGGTCGACCGGCATGACCTCTGCGGTCGACCGCCGCTCAGCTTCTGAGCCCAGTAGTTCTCGGGCCTGCGAGTGGTCGACCGGAGTGGGTTCTGCAGTCGACCGCCGCACAGTTTTTCCTGCCCTGTTTGTTTCTGCAGTATAGTGCACTCGTTAGAGTGTTTGCCTCGATCACCTAACTTTAAATCTACAGTTGTACTAAGCATCTATGCATGATAGATGGCCCGAAATACTTGCCTATGATCACACGATGAGTTGAGTGTGAGTTTTGCATAAGTAAACCATGCCTTGTATATCACTAATACTTGCTCAGTTGCACAGTCCTCGTGTTGGACTATAATCCATAGAAGTCCTCGTGTTGGACTATAATCCATTTCAGTCCTCGTGTTGGGCAATTATCCATTTATCTCATGTGTTGGGAAATCTCTATATCTAATTCATGTACTGGACATCTTTATTAACCATGCATGCGACATTTCACATGAGTTATGACATGACACTTATGAAGAATATGACACCACATATATTGAGAGTATGATATGACACTTATGTCAAATACGACATGGTAATTATGTGGGACGTCACATAATACAATATATATATATGTTCGGAGACATGTTGTATTTTCTTTTTGCTTATTTCTGTTTACATATTAGACTCCGGGTTTGGTACTTAAGGATTTTCAATTTGGGATACAAGGTATATACATGAGGGTTTCCTTGTTTGGATTATTTCGCTCGACGTACCTATGCCCGTGTTGAAACTTCATAAGTACTCAGACCCATTGTTTATTGATAGAGTAATTGTTTATATATATATATATTTTGTGATAACTGTATTTTCTTATACAACAAGCCCTCTCCCTTGGGGTTGGTTGTGATGTTGCTCGCTAGCGCTTTGACGCTCGTTGTCCCTCCCCCCTTTCAGGTCACGAGCCAGCGAGGATCATAGCGAGCACACACACCCCGGCAGCAGTCGCCAGCCGTTCGAGCGACACACTGTTAGTGTTGTTGACTGTCTATTCTAGCTATGCCTTATTTGGGCCAGCTCCACTATAGACCTTGTGGTAACATTTGGCCGACTTTTTCTAGACGTTTAAAGGTGTGCTGCCTTATTTCCCTTAGATTAATTCAGACTTGTTTGTATTTGAGATTATAAGAACTCCAGTTTTTTCATTTTTAACCACTTGACTTTATATTCCTGTGTGTTGGATTGCATGAAAATTACTATTTGATCTTTATCGTTTCTCAGCTTATCTCTTCTAGATATCTCTTACTTGCTTTGTACCTACCCCCCCCCCCCCCCCCCCCCCCCCACCCTATTATGACTCACTAGAGTGATAAAAATTCGTGATGGTGAAACATGTTAATTGCACAGTTGTGCTTAGCCAGGTTGACATATCTTGGTTTCACCTTGCGACTGCCAGGCCTTGTGTGAACCAGCGGGCGTCACAACCATTATCCCCTCGCAAAGTTCGCATTATTTCTGCTGCGCTTCTCTTCTCTAAATAAATGCATACTAAGAGATTTCTTCAGCTTAAGCGCGCCTGGCTTGTGATCCTCTCTGTTCTTTTTGTGGCTTGATTTAGAAACAACGGAGAAACATTTGTTCTTTTCTTGGTCCTATATCCAGCAAAAGTTGGTGGCAGGCACTTCTTACACTACTCTTACCTTCAATTGGACTAAACTTTGAAGAGTTATGAATAGGCATGAAACTCCTGAGAGAATGGAAAGGCTCACTTTGGAGAACCATTTTTGCTTCTGCTCTGTTGGAGTTATGCGACTTCGCAGGACATAACGTGCATTTTTGATCAAATTCCGTTCTCTTTTTAAGCTCCATTATTAACTTCTCTATATCTTGTTTAAAAGCGACTGGACAGCTCTCGGTAATGGAGTGCGCAGCGCGGAAATGATTCAAAGCCTAAACTGGCAGTGGGAGAGAGAAAACCCGATTAGCCAAATCACTTAACAACTTATATGTAATGCGGCACTGTGAATTCAAGTGTTTTGGCATATGTACATAAGAATTTTTTTTTGTAGTTTTCTTGAGATTTTGTGGTTATTGGGTTATAGAAAGTTTAGTTTCTTGTTACTATATATATGGCTGGCTTTGGTTCTTTCTTATATCTGTGTCAACGGTGAATGACGGCAATGCCCTCTCTTCACCTTCATGGATGTTTGAAAGAAGAAAGTCATATATCACTAGTTCTGAGAAACTATCTTTTCTATCTTCCAATTCCTTGGATATACATCATATCCTTTTTTTGTAACTACTTTTTTGATTAATACAAATGACAGGGTATATCCCTTGTTTTTCTTCAAAAAAAAAAAATAATAATAGATTGGTGGGTCTCACCATTAGCTTATTTTAGAGATTTAGCATATTATTTAATATGTATTTTGCTGGTATGAGTAAAATATAATAAGAGATCGGCGGGCATCATCATCAGGGTATTTTAGGGATCTAGTATATTATTTTAACATGATATAAATGCAACATTATGATTTGGTGGCACTTTGTTATAGATACATATTTTCATGGTGATTCTATTTCAACCAAAAAAAATTGTGATGATTCTCCGGAAAGCCACTATATTTTTGTGGTGGTTTTGCGTAAAAAAAAAAAAATCCTTTCACATATTAGACACCGACTTTGTTAATTCTATATTAAGAGACTCTTTGGTTAGTTTCTAGTAAAATGAACTCCAACAGAAGAAATATGAAAGTGAATTCCAAAAATGAAAAATGAAAACTTTAAGAATCTAATATCAAAACTAGCTCTATACTAGTAGGATCATTATTACTCATCTGATTTGGGTGCCAACGATAGACGGTTGCAAATTCTACGGGGCAGGTGTGTGAATATGCGATTTTGTCGTGTTAAACATGTTTGGCGAAAAAAGATATTTGTGGAAGCAAACGACACGACGGCGAGGGAGCAGAGAGGAGGATTGGGCGTTAGATCGTCTTGATGGCTCAATAATTGGACGCAAGCTATGGGCCTTTTTTACCTTTGGGCTCAATAATTGGACCTAAATTAAATGTGCCTCATGGCTCAATAATTAGACCTAAATTATGTGGGCAAGTTTTATTTTCCTCTATTTATATTATAGATAGATATATTATATTTTATTCCCACGAGCTAGAGCGTGAAAATAAGAATAATAAGCTAAGTTTCAAATTAGATTCGACTTTGAGACATACTATTATGTGTCATTTAATTGAAAGTTACGTGAAACATGCATATCTAAAATGACCTCAGAAGATCTACAGATGGGTCATGCATGCTCGTCGTACAGTGATGCTCAATTTAAACGTGGAGATTTTTGCTCGGTCGTCTTTGGCTCTGATTTTGCTGTCACAGTCACATGCTTGAGTACAGAAAAAATAAATCAAGGGAGCTTGGTTGTTGTTGTTCTCACTTCGGATTGGTTCTTCACAGTCACCAAAGTTTTAACCCATGTTGGGTCCCAAAAGAAGAGCGCATTTTAGTTTCTCCAACTCAATTGAACAATTTCCAGCAACAGATCGATGAGAAATCGTTTTGACCTTTTGTAAGTATTATATGTTTAAGAGAATGAAAATTAAGTTAGTATTTGAATGGTCAAAAAAATAACCATGCTTAACTCAAGAACAGCATGCAACATAACTTATTTGTTTGCAGATCCACAGCCTAGACGAAATGACCTTTCGTGAGTGTTGAACCACAAGCAAAACACGCACCAAGAAAACAAAAGTGCACGCTGCATAATAAATCACAAGCCAAATGTTCCGCAGCTTTATTTCCAGTACAACGTCTAAATTTCTCAACTCAACTTATAATTTATTTTTCACCATGGATATACCTAGCTCAATGAAAACATAATTCTCAACAGTTCGAGTTACAAATTAGATAATAGTTTACCAATGCTGCATTACAAATCACGCGACTCTCTTAACTCGCCAGCAGGGAAAGGAAAAAAGAAAAAAACCAATTACACGAAATATACGGCTCTCAAAAATTGTCACAAACTAATTCTCCACAAATAATCTCATGTTCCTATCTGAAGCCTCCTTTTGATAGTAAACGAGGATATAGAAATTGCTGGATGAACTACTTTCAGAGATCGCCATTCCACTCTAGAGCTAAGATACATGCTTTGAATTAGAAGCGGCTAAAAGAGCTGCTCCAATGCCAGAACCATCTTTTGTGTGTTCAATTATCACATTTCTCGAAATCTCGAAACCAAGTAACTCTGTAACAGCTTCCTTGAGATAGTTTCGATACTGAGGATAATGCTCATAAAGGCCACCATCCATGGCAACCACCGTTCTCTTTCCAAAGACGAGGCCTTTGGAATCTCGCTCCATTTTTTGCAGAATTCCCACAATCCCTGCTCCTGCCAATCTTCCACCTCGCTTCACAATGGTGTCACAGACCTCCACCACGATTTTTCTGGCTCCTAAGGTAGAGTATGTTGCCTAGAGAAAGCGTATGGGAAAGGAGTCGAGTGTTGAAAATATTAAAAGAATTCAAAATGAGAAGTTTCTCCAATGTAATAAAATGGTATTCAAACTTACACCAATGGTGTTGCTCAATATTGTCTCGACTTCTTTCAGATCCTTGGAATCATCCTGCTGCATGGCGCAAAGATCAGGAGTCCTGTAAAACATAAGATATGATTTGATCTTTCGACTTTTGAGGGATTTAACCTGTGACTGGGCCAAAATTTCTGAGGCTTTAACAATTGGGGGTGGGAGGGGAGTTCGCGTGTGCGCCCGTGCCTGCCAACCCCAGGCACGCTCACAGTCGCACACAAAACGTAAATGGGGTAGTATTTCATACCCAAATGTGTGTGTGTTTGTGTGTGCGGCTGTGAGTGTATAACACGCACACGCACACAGTGACATACATGTGTCTGTGTGTGCTTGTGTGCTCATACTTGTGCACGTGTGGAGAGAGGGGCTTGGCTACTTTCAAAAGGATTACAATGCTGTTCTTTTTCATTGAAATTCAAGTTAAAAAAAAGTTTCTTAAGTTCACATACTTCATGTGGAGTGCCTAAGTAGAAAAATCGAAGTGACATGAATTTTCTCCCCAAGGGATCCAGTACAAAAAATGGCTGAAAATATCATGTACAGATATGCTTCAGTAATACAAAGTCTAATCACATGATGACATAAAAAATGTTACACATTAAGTTTATAAAGAACTTGCTCCTTTAATCATCCATTTTGTTCCATTTGACGAGTAGTTAGAATTCAACCCACCACTTTATATTTGGTTTATAGGCTTCCCGAAATGATTTTAATTAACTTGAACACATAAAATCATTATTATCACCTTTTTTATTATTAGGCTAATAAATTGTGATGAATATTGACCGTAGGATGAAATCTGTTACATTTTCTCTTTCTTTTTATAAACTTTTTTCAGCTATGCCCATGCATGCATTCTGTTTTTAAAAGTAATAATCTGATTAATCTGATATGAAGCTAAAAACAACTGACCCAAACCAATCTTCATATGAGTTATGAGGACTGTGTTGGAAGCTGGCTAAAAAACATTCAACCTTCATTTTCGAACAAAATTCTAGTGAAAAAGTTCATTTTATTACATAATCTATTCACATGATGACATCAAAAATGTTACGCATTAAGCTTATAAACAACTTGCTACTTTAATCATCCATTTTGTTCTATTTTTGACGCATAGTTAGAATTCAACCCACCACTTTATTTTGGTTTATAGGGTTCCGGAAATGATGTAATTAACTTGAACACATAAAATCATATCATTACCTTTTTGATTATTAGGCTAATAAATTGTGATAAATATTGACTGTAGGATGCAATCTGTTACATTTTCTCTTTTTTTATAAACCTTTTCATCTATGCCTATGCATGCATCCTGTCTTTAAAAGTAATAATGTGATTAGTCTGATATGAAGCTAAAAACAACAGACCCAAACCAATCTTCATATGAGTTATGAGGACTGTGTTGGAAGCTGGATAGAAAACGTTCTACCTTCATTTTCGAACAACATTTTAGTGAAAAAGTTCATTTTATTACATAATGTAATTCTAAATATATTCCGTAGGTGTACGTGTACTTCATTGTTCAGGGTGCTTTAGCACTATCCATATCTTTAAAGGTATCCATATTAGTCAAACTATGAATACATATATTAACCCTGATTGGATTCTACAAATTCATCTACATCCATAATAGAAGGCCTTTCTTTTAATCTTGGACGTCCAATTCAGAGTTAGTGCTCCTGACACAGAAATTCACTCATCATAAATAACAAATTTTCCGAATCAAATACAGCAATGATATACACACATCCTACATTCACATCCATGACTACCCAAGACTTATCAAGGTCGTGTAAATTAATGGCAAGGTGTGAATCAATATTAAGTCCCAGGAAAGTTATTTGCGTACTAGTTGAGAAAGTTTTACCAGACTACCACCATATTTGCCTTTGGGTGGAGGGGAGGGGAGGGACAAAAATTAGATTTGCCTTTGGCTGGAGTTTTTTAGAGGGGAAGATAGAGTGACGGGAGGGGAGGGGAGGGAGGGGACACCACAAAATGAACTAAAACGTTAGAGAGAGAAGAATCCCTCCAAATTGGGATGACATAAGAGGAGTGAGAAAATGACTACAAAAGCATGCATATCTCCTCCCCTCCAACCAAACATAGAGGCTTAAAGGGACGTCCATCCCTCCACCTCATTGCACCTCCCCTCACCTCACCTTCCCTCCTCAAACCCCCTACCAAACCAAGCCATGTGGATATCTTCCTTGTTCAGTAAGTATACACAAGAAGATTTTGTTAGATTTTAGTGGCCCACGTTTTGTTTTAACCAACTTTAGTGGTTAAGTTATTTTTTATCACGTTTTAAGTTAGTTTAAGAAACTGGTCATGTTTTATTTAGTTATATAACTATTCACGTTTTTATGCCAAATTCCTATTGATCAATTAAGATAACTACTTACGTTGATGGAGTGTGAGTGATTATTCTATTTAAAGGTTTGGTCCTCTCTCTACCTAGTATGTGAAAATTTTCTCTCCATAAAGAAAATTTTGGAAAAGCTCAAGAAGGTTAAGGGAGAGAAACTCAAGTCTTCAAGATTGTTCATCTTGCAATCAATTTCTCTTCAAGCTTTAAATCATGGATCAAGATACGTTTTTTTTCTTAATTAATTGTTCATAGTGAAAATCATTTCTTCTAAGATCTTGGTACAATGATAATCAAATCAAAATCGAAGTTTAGATTGATTTGCCTAAATATAAATTAAGGTTACATGTGGTATCAGAGCATTGATTAAAGAACTTATGATTTTCCATTGTTATTCTTGTTTCTTGTCAAATAATTTCATTACTGTTAATTAAATGTTTAAAATTCGATAAATATTTTTTAGCTGATTATTGAATATTATTTTGTTTGATAATTTCGTATTAAAGTGAATTCATAATCAATTACTGCAAATTCAGATCTGTGAAATTAGGAGCTGACTGTCCATTCATTATGTATACATATTTTGATTATACTAAATACTTTAGGTGTAATAGCCTAGTGGTAAGGCTTGAGGGTTTGGCCTAGAGGTCAGGTGATCAAACCCCTAGGGCTACACCATATATTAAAAGTCTTTGATGGGCATTGGGCCTTGGAAATCTTGGGGTCTCTGATTTCTAATGATATTTTTGCTAATTCAATTTTATTTTGGCTGCATGTGTTGCTGCCTATTTGTCTATTTTGCCTGTAAGATATTTCTGTTTACGTCAATGCACTAATTATGCATGGATTGTTAATCTTCATGGACTGCAATTTGCGGGCTTGTTATAACGTTATTGTCTAGATTCTATTATACAATTTAAAATTTACATTTTCCATGGATGGTTTGTTAGTCACCAAAGTGGCCATACCTTGACGTTCCATGCTTATCAAATTGTAATAATATAATTTTAATTACTCATATTAAAAGTCTTTGATGGGTATTGGGGCTCTTGGGGTCTCTGATTTCTAGTGATGTTTTTGCTAATTCGTTTTTATTTTGGCTGCATGTGTTGCTGCCTATTTGTCCATTTTGCCTGCATGATATTTCTGTTTATGTCAATGCACTAATTATGCATGGATTGTTAATCTTCATGGACTGCAATTTGCGGGCTTGTTATAACGTTATTGTTTAGATTCCATTATACAATTTAAAATTTATATTTTTCATTGATCATTTGTTAGTTACCAAAGTGGCAACACCTTGATGTTCCATGCTTATCAAATTGTAACAATATAATTTCAATTACTCATATTAAAAGTCTTTGATGGGTCTTGGGGTTGGGGTTTCTGATTTCTAGTGATGTTTTTGCTAATTCGTTTTTATTTTGGCTGCATGTGTTGCTGCCTATTTGTCTATTTTGCCTGCATTATATTTCTATTTATGTCAATACACTAATTATGCATGGATTGTTAATCTTCATGGACTACAATTTGCGGGCTTGTTATAACGTTATTGTCTAGATTATATTATACAATTTAAAATTTATATTTTTCATGGATGGTTTGTTAGTCACCAAAGTGAACATACCTTGACGTTCTATGCTTATCAAATTGTAATAATATAATTCCATTTACTCATATTAAAAGTCTTTGATGGGCCTTAGGCCTTAGTGCTCTTGGGGTCTCTGATTTCTAGTGATGTTTTTGCTAATTCGTTTTTATTTTGGCTGCATGTGTTGCTGCCTATTTGTCTATTTTGCCTGCATAATATTTCTGTTTATGTCAATGCACTAATTATGCATGGATTGTTAATCTTCATGAACTGTAATTTACGGGCTTGTTATAACGTTATTGTCTAGATTCCATTATACAATTTGAAATTTATATTTTTCATGGATGGTTGTTTAGTCACCAAAGTAGCCATACCTTGATGTTCCATGCTTATCAAACTATAATAATATAATTTCAATTACTCATATTAAAAGTCTTTGATGGGCCTTGGGCCTTGAGGCTCTTGGGGTCTCTGATTTCTAGTGATGTTTTTACTAATTCGTTTTTATTTTGGCTGCATGTGTTACTGTCTATTTATCTATTTTGCCTGCATGATATTTTTGTTTATGTCAATGCACTAATTATGCATGGATTGTTAATCTTTATGGACTGCAATTTGCTAGCTTGTTATAACATTATTGTCTAGATTTCATTATATAATTTGAAATTTATATTTTTCATGGATGGTTTTTGTTAGTCATCAAAGTGGCCATACCTTGACGTTTCATGACTATCAAATTGTAATAATATAATTTTAATTACTCATATTAAAAGTCTTTGAATGGCCTTGGGCCTTGGGGCTCTTGGGGTCTCTGATTTCTAGTGATGTTTTTGCTAATTCGTTTTTATTTTGGCTGCAGGTGTTGCTGCCTATTTGTCTATTTTGCATGCATGATATTTCTGTTTATGTCAATGCACTAATTATGCATGGGTTGTTAATCTTCATGGACTGTAATTTGCGGGCTTGTTATAACGTTATTGTTTAGATTCCATTATACAATTTGAAATTTACATTTTTCATGGATGGTTTGTTAGTCATCAAAATGGTCATACATTGACGTTCCATGCTTATCAAATTGTAATAATATAATTTCAATTACTCATAT